ATGGTAAAAGCGAATGTAGCGTCAATTAGGCATTTTTTGGAAGTCCTTCTCTAGGAAAATATGTGAGATCCACTACATTAAAGTACATGTAATGGTTGGTGGATCACAACAGGTCTGCCACGACGGGGCTATTAATACAAGGCAAACTTATCAACAGGAATCATACTTTGGTAGGCGTACGGCTTACTGTTGTAAAGTATACTGATCCACACTATGGCAGGAGAGGGGGTATTTTTTAACCAGTGATAGGAAATAAATTATTGGCCTGTACTCCGTAAGAATATATATTTTGCAATGTATTGTTGTCAAAGCGAGATTAGTACAAATGTCAAAGTGCATGAGAAGAAATATTGCGATACATTATTGCAGCGATCTTGTAAATTGCTCAGGTTGCTGTAAGTAACTTACTGTGGTGTTAGCTTCGAATGTACACGTACTATCTTAGAGTGCGCAATTAGCCGTAAAGCAATAAAATAAAACAATAAAAACACGATGTACAGGATCCACCAATTCGCCTTTATTATACAGTCTGCAGTGCTGACCTGGGTTTCAACCGAAACACAGCACCTAGAGTATGCCGATGACCTTCATATACTAAACACGTTGTTTTATGCTTTCGTTAAGCGGTTAAGTTTACACAACTCCTCCTAATTCTCGCTTTACCTTGATTTGGTTGACTTCCGATTTCCAATATTGTATTTAATGGCATCTTGCAAGTCTGGGGAATACTGTAATATACATATAAGTGCAATTTCGCTCACTATTTCAATATATTATTGTATGAGGATGAACTATTGCACTGCAGTGGCAAATCGCAGTAAAAAAAAATTTTGCTGCCAATGTATTTTTCCAATCCCTGCTTTGAACAAATACAAAAAAGCACAGTGCTAGGTAAAGGTTGGATTCTATTCACGCCAAAGCTGCCTTAAGCCTTCGTTTTGCCAGTTTTGCGCTCCTGAAGTTTGCGCAGGTACTGTTTGCGCCTCGCTTGCTCTTGCTTGTACTCCTCCGTCCGGCGTCGCTTAATCGCCTCCATCTCCTCGAAAAGCGCCAAGGCCACATTCTCCTGAAGATCCAGCGACCACGCCTTGGTACGTGAGTGTGTCTTCAGCTGGTGCAGAATGTCCGAGTTCTCTTCACGAGACAAGGTGGCGACGACAGAATGCAGGAACTCCCACAGATTCAGTGGTGCATCCTCTACTCCATCGCTACCAGGAAGATGCGCCATGTCTACAATAGTCAGGAAGAACGCACCCAGCTCCGTCTCCAGCTCCGTGGGCGCCGTCTGTCCAGTCTCTGACGTCGTCGACAGCAAGGGCTTCTGGGTGAAAAACTGCTGTACTAGTGCCAGAAACTCCAGCGTCTCTGCGTCCTCTGGCTCCGTCTCGAAGCCCAGTTTGCGAGCCACTTCCACGTTCTGCTTGACCTGAGCAGCAGCGTTAATACGTGCACGCAGACGACTGACAAACGTCCAGCGCGTGGCCGATTGGAACGGAGGGCCACGCACGGATGCACCTGGCGCCAAGACGTCTACAGGCGGGAACACTCGGCTGCGTGCCAGTGACGATTCAAGGCCAACGTAGTCGTCAACAAGCGACGCTACACGTTCCTGGAACTCGGACGGGATCTCCAAACTGTCCGGGGAGTCCACAAGCACTAGCGACGTGAGCGATGGCCCTGTCTCCTTCATAGTAGCGCCCTTGAATTGGGCTGAACGTTCCATAAGCACAGCGTGTGCACTGAGGCTGATCTGAGCCACACGCGGCAGTTTAAGCGCCTGCACGAGACCCTCCACTACTGTCGTGTGTGTTGCCAAGTCATCGTACACCACGACACTTCTTGGAGACCTGCCGTTGTACATCAAATACTCTGCCACTGCACAGCCTGTGAACGGCGCCAAGTACTGCAGGACGGGCGAGTCACGGTCGCTTGACGCGACGATAGCCGTGTGTTCCAAAGCTCCTGTGACTTTCAACGCATCCCGAATCTGGTGGATCCTCGACGCGCTCTTACCGATACAAACGTACACAAACTGAGGCGGAATTTCTCTGCGTGCTTTGGCCTTCGCTACTTGGTGTGCGATGACGTCCAGTGCTACGCGTGTCTTGCCCGAGTTCTTCGGTCCTAGCACTCCAAAGCGGTGTCCATGGGCCATGGGATGCAGACAGTCTACGGCCAGTAAGCCTGTCTCGAACGGAGAGCGCAACGGCGCACGTGTCATGAGTCCAGGCACGCTCTGTGCGCCCCATGTGACTTTGACGCGGTCGTTGGCTGTCTTGTCCTGTTTTTCATGTTCTTCGTTCTCGTCAAGCTGTACGGCTCGGCCCAGAGGGTCCACGACGGCGCCGGCGAAGGCCGCGACGCTGCCAGGGATCTCGAGCTGCTCGCGCTGCAGCGTCACGTCCATACCTTTGCTTACGGGGCTCGCACTGCTGGCGTTCAGTAGCGCTACGTGTACCACCTTCTTCTCCATAAAAAGCACGAGTCCTTGGCTCAGCGACTGGCCCGAGGCGTCCGACACGTCCACGACGCTGCCGATGGTGGCATGACGTAGCCCCGAGACGCGCGCCAATCCATTCTGTACGCCCATAACCACGCCACTGACCGGTAGTTCGGCCTGCACACTGGATAGCGACTCATCCATAGTCGGAGACAGCTCGTCCTCCTCTGCCAGCTTCATGAAGTCCAGCATCTGCTGTTCCAGTGTAGCTTCCGAGTCGTCCGTGCGGCGTCCACCCGCCAGGGCTGAGCTAGACGCGTGGAAATTGCGAGCGGAGGAAGCGGAGACGCATGGAGACACGGAGGACGTGACGGAAAGGCTCTGCAACACGCGCTGCTGGGTCCGCAAGGCCCGAGAAATGGCCACTTTACCTCGATTAGCTGCTCGCATTTAACGAAACAGCTCGATGAAGTAGTTATCGTGATACAAGTATGTTTATTCTAATAGTTCCGCAGCAGCTAGAAACCGATCCCAATCGACATC